TGCCAAAATAGTGAAGGCATTGGTTAAAATATTCAAGACGTCATTGGAAATTTCTATCAAACTAGAAAACCACTATTGTTCAAAAAGGGAGGGAGGCATAAATCAGGAAATTATAGGCCAGCAGCCTAACATGTGTGATTAGGAAAATGCTCGAATTTATAATTAACAAAGAAATAGCAGGACATTTAGAATGGCTTAATACAATCAAAAAGAATCAACATGGTGTTTTGAAAGGCAAATCAAGTATGAAAATTTTTTTTAGAGATTTTTGAGGATATAACAACTAGAGTTGAAAAATGAGAACCAGTAGATGTAGTGTATTTGGATTTTCAGAAGACAATTCAAAAAGGTGCCAAGTAAAATATTACTGCACAAGTTAGGAGCTCATGGTATTAGGGTAACGTATAACGTGGATGTAAGATTGGTTAACACAGAGACAACAGAGTCAGAACTAATGGGTTTTTTTCAGGTTGGAAAGATGTAACAAGTACAGTACCATAAGGATCAGTCCAAGGGCCTCAATAATGATGCAGAGGAGGCAGAGTCCAAATTCGCTGATGATACAAAAATAGGCACGTGGGCAATTCACAATGGGGTCTGTAAGGGGATATGGATAGGATGAGTGAGTGGGCAAAAACCTGACAGATGGAGTTTCAAGTGTGAGATCATACATTTGGTAGAAAGACATAAAGGGCCGACAATTGAAGAGGGACCCCAAAAAAGTGCAGCAGAAGGGGGTCTGAGTGTTCTTCTGCATAAAACACAAAATTTAACATGCAAATACAGGAAGTAATTCAGAAGGCAAATGGAATTTTAGCCTTTGTTGCTATGTGGTTGAAGTCAAAATAGAAAAGTCTTGCTACAACTATACAGGGTGTTGATGCGGCCAAACCTAGAGCACTCTGTACAGTTTTGGTCCCAGTATGTTACAAAGGATGTGCTAGCATTGGAAGTAATTTAAATGAGATTCACTAGGTTGATTCTGGGATGAAGGAACTGACTTATTCAGAATGGCTAAACAAGTTCAGCCTTAATTCATTAGAGTTTAGAAAAATGAAGGGTCATCTTATTGAAACATAGGTTTAAGGTGAGCGGGGATAGATTTAAAAGGGAACTAAGGAGCAACTTTTTCACACGGAGGGTGATGCATGTATGGAATGAGCTGCCAGAGGAGTTGGTGGAGGCTGGTACAATAATAACATCTAAAAGGCATCTGGATGGGTACACGAATAGGAAGGGTTTAGTGGGATATGAGCCAAATGCTGACAAATGGGACTAGATTGGGATATCTGATTGGTATGGACCAGTTGGACCGAAGGGTCTGTTTCCATGCTGTACATCTTTATGACTCTATGACTGGTTAGATGTTGAGAAGTTGAGAAGGGCGGCACGTGGCTCAGTGGTTAGCACTGCTGCCTCATAGCGCCAGGGACCTAGGTTCGATTCCACCCTTGGGCGACTGTCTGTGTGGAGTTTGCACGTTCTCCCCGTGTCCGTGTGAGTTTCCTCCGGGTGCTCCGGTTTCCTCCCACATTCCAAAGATGTGCAGGCTAGGTGGACTGGCCATGCTAAATTGCCCATATAGTGTTCAGGGATGTGTAGATTAGGTGGGTTATAGGGGGATGGGTCTTGGTGGGATGGTCAGTGTGGTCTTGTTGGGCCGAAGGCCTCCACACTGTAGGACTTGTATGAAAAGTTTTTACTCGTGAAGGAATCATGAACTAAGATATATTTACAGAACAAGAGGACACTCATTTAGAACTGTGATGAAAAGGAATTTCTTTTGCCAGATGGTAGCAAACGTCTAGAATTCTCCATACTAGACAGTTGTGGAGGCTAGATCACTTAAAGGATTTAAAGAGGAAGTAGGTATATTTTTGAAATATGGAGGGCTATGATGAGCACAAAAGAGTTCAGGCTTAGGGCAGTTCAGCAATGACCTTGTTGAATGGTGGCAGGCTTGAAGTGCCAAATCGCCAATTTCCACTCCTGTTTATGTTCTATTTGACCTGTGACATCCATGCCAGCACTTTAAAAGCTGTTAAACTAGTCTTGTTCCCCTACCTATGGCCTAAATCCCTGCACATTTTTTTTTTCCTTCAGTGAATGAAACAAATTATTTTTGAAAGTCATTCCTGGAATTGCAAGACTGACATATGAGAAGAGAGCATGCCAATTAGAATTGTATTCACTGGAGTTTGGAAAAATTGGGGACAGGGGTTAGTGGAATCTCATAGAAACTTACAAAATTCCAACAGAACTAGATAGGTTAGATGCAGTAAAGATGTTCCCGATGGTGGGTGGGGAGTCCAAAACCAGGGGTCAGAGTTTCAGGATAAGTGGTAAACCTTTTAGGACTGAGATCAGAGAAATTTCTTCACCCACAGAGAGGCAAGCCCATGGAATTCACTACCACAGAAAGTGATTGAGGCCAAACATCATGAGTTTTCAAGAAAGAAATTAATAAAGCTCTTGTGACTAAAGGGATCAAGGGGTATGTGATGAGGGCGGGATTAGGGTATTGAACTCAATGTTCCGCCATTCAATATGAATGTGGCTGATCAGACTCGAGGTGTCAAATGGCCTACTCCTGCTCCTATATTGCTATGGTATGATTAAATCTGCATTTCACTTTCAAATAAAGCACTTTAGATCCTAATCATTCACAGGGTGGAAAGGTTTTCCTCATATTGTTTCTACTTCTTTTATCAATCTTAACTTGATGTCCTCTGACTCTTAATCCTGCCACCAACAGAAAAAGTTTCTCCTTATGTACTCAGCTTTGCCTATCAATATAACTGAAGATCCTCACTCCCCAAACTGTTCTCCCAAATCTTTCCTTCTCCATCATCACTACTTTGATTTCTTGGAGCTTATTACTATATCCTCAGAACTCAGTTCAGTTGACATTTTAAAAGCCTGATGGCTTGGAATTTCAATGAGGAACTCATTCCTGTCTCACTAAGGTCTGTCCCTCATCTGCAAGGAGTGTGATGGAATGCTCCCCAGTTGCCTGGATGAGTGCAGTTCCAACAATTCTCGAGAAACTTGACACCATCCAGGACAAAGCAGCCCGCTGGATTGGCACCATATCAAAAACCATCCCACTCATTCCATCACCAATGCTTCAGTAGCACTGGTGTGTACTGTCTTGCAGAAATTTACTAAAGGTCCTTAGCAGTACCTTCCACACCCATAACCACTTCTATCTGGAAGGACAAGGGCACGTGACATACGGAACACCTGTAAGTTCCCCTGCAAGCCACTCACTTGGAAATGTATTGCTGTTTCTTCATTATTTCTGTGTCAAAATTGTGGAATTCCTTCTCTACTGCATTGTGGGTCTACCTGTACATGGACTGCAGCGGTTCAAGGAGACAGCTCATCACCACAGGGAACGAGGGACAAACAGCCAGCGACACCCATTCCCCATGAGTGAATTTAATAAAAAATTGCAACGTAAATCAACCCAGAAGAATGGAAGGAGTTTGGAAAACGCAATAAAGTCATGGAGAATAAAATTCACATCCCATGGAGTCATAGCCAGGAAATCAAGTTGGCCATTGCCTTGCTTGTTCCATAAAGTCAATTCTATGTCTCTAGAGATCCTGAGCAATATGAAAGATATTGGTCTATGGATTCTCATTGTGTTTGATCTTAAGTTCAAATCCCTGGCTTCACATGCAAGAACACATTCAAATGTCTGAATACATGCCAGATAACAAACTTTGTCTATTTAGCATTATTGGTGAAAGTTTTATCGTAACCTATTGCAAAGATTAATAAACTTTAATTTTTTAATCAATAACCAGACAGTCAAAAGAGTTATAGTGAGTCCTCGTAAAGTATGGTAGTCTAAACATCGATATACTGTAATTGGTTATTATATTAAACATTGATATTGTCCCAGTTCCTGTTCCAGCTATATTGATACTGGCAAAGCCAACATTCACAGCTTCTCCATAGTTGTCCTTGATTCTTTATACAAATTTGATACAATCAAGTCGTTTTCTAGGACAAGAGCTAGGAGTCACCTATGTTGGCATGTGACTGAAGTCACACGTGGGCCACATGGTAAAGAAGTTTTCATTGCCAAGAAAGCATAAGAGAACCAATTAGGTTTTTACAATGAATTGACAGCTTCATGGTCACTTTTACTGATATCAGCTTTATGTTTCCAGATTTCTTTTTAAAATAAATTCAAACAATCAAGCCAAACTTTTTTAGATTGTAAAATATCCATTACCTGCCTGCTTGCCACAAGCAGTCCCCTGTTGCTCTCAATTGGAGCAAAACACAAGGAATTTTAAAAACCAAAAGACCTGTGGATGCCGTAAATCAAGAACAAAAACAAAGTTGCTGGAAAAGCTCAGCAGGTCTGGCAGCATCTGTGAAGGAGAAAACAGGGTTAACGTTTCGGGTCCGGTGACCCTTCGTCAGAACTGAGAACTACCCAGTTCTCTCTGTTTTCTCCTTCACAGATGCTGCCAGACCTGCTGAGCTTTTCCAGCAACTTTGTTTTTGTACAAGGAATTTTAACCTGAAATTTAAAGCATTGCAGGTCATGGGTTTAAATAAACCACTCCAGAAATTTGAACATGTTCATGCTGACACATTAGTATACCTGAAATAGTACTGCACAGTCAAAAGTGCCATCATTCAAATGCCACGTTAAACTGAGCTTCATTTGCCTTTCAGGTGGCCATTAGAAATCAAAAGACTACAATTCCAAGGGCATCAGTGGAGTCCTCCAATGTCCTGGCCAAATTTATACACAAAACAAATTACCAGGTCATTGTCTCTTTGCTCTTTGTGGGTTATGATTATGTGCACATTTTTGCCACATTTCAAGGGATTACACTTCAAAACTGTTCAACTGGCTGCAAAATGCTATGTAACAGAGTAGTGAAAGGTGTTACATAAATTTTAAAAAATGGATCACTTTCTTTTAAGCTTTTAGCCTATTGAAATGACAACAGTGCTGCATTATTGTTTCTTACCCATTATAATCAATATCTTGAGGATAACTCAGTGAACGAAGTCCTTGTTCTAATTTTCGAAGTGATCCCTTCAAATCACCGGTTGTCATCTTACGCCTATAACATGAGCAACAGGGTCATGTAAATAGTCATAAAAGAATGTGGGCTTATCCTATGTCATTGTAATTTGCTAAATGGTGTTCTAGGGTTTCATCATTTTAGCTAACCAGTGAACGCCAGCAGTGTTGATAAGCAGAACAGAAATAGAAAATATGTGCCCAATGATGCTTCACATAGAAGCATTTCACCCAGTAACTTCCTTTGGAAAGCAGTGACTGCCCTGCAGGAAAACAGAACCAGCAGTTCATGCCAAAAAGATCCCACAAACAGCACTGAGACATATAGTCAAGAACTCTATATTGCTTACAGAGGAGTAGGATTGAGAATGCAAAGAGACTTCAAGATGATTTAACAAGTTGAGTGTGTGGGTAAACATATGGCAGCCTGCAGTGCAATGTGGCTAAACATGAAGTTATACACTGTGGTGTGAAAATCAGAAAAGCAGAGTAGTTATTTAAATAGTGACATATTGAAAGGTGTGGACGTACAATATTACATGCAGGAAGTATGTTACTGATGTCGGGGAGTCCAGAACCATGGTTCATAGTTTAAAGATAAGGGGTAAACCTTTTAGGACTGAGATGAGGAGAAATTTCTTCACTCAGAGGGTGGTGAGCCTATGAAATTCACTATCACAGAAAGTGGTTGAAGCCCAAACATTGTGCTTTCAAGGAGGTTGATTCAGTGCTTGTGGCTAAAAGGATCAAGGATTAGGAGGGGAGACGGCGGGATTAAGGTATTGAGCTTGATGATCAACCACAATCATAATAAATGGCAGAGAAGGTTCCAGGGTCGAATGGCCTACTCTTGCTTCCATCTTCTACGTTTTAATGTATGTAGCTTCACCGGGTTGAAATCTAATTTTAGATATGCCTGGTGCTGCTCCTGAGATGGCCTTCTGCTCTGATCATTGAAACCAAGTTAATGAGATTCTAGCTTGGCCTCATCTGGCATAATGCAGTTGCCTGGCCACCTCACTTTAGGAAGCATGTGCAGGCATTGGAGAGAATGTGTATGAAGTTTATGAGAATGGTTTCAAGGATCAGGAATTTAAGTTATGAAGACATCAGGGTGAAAGTAGTGTAGCGTTAACTGTCACTAAACCATGACAGTTAGAACAGTGCTCTGGGGGCACAGCTTCAAATATCACCATGGCAGTTGGTGCAATTTAAATAAATTTAGTTTATTAATAAAATCTGGAATTGAAAGGTAGTCTTAATAATAGTGACCATGAAGCTGTCATTGATTGTTTTTTTAAATAACAATTTGGTTTACGATTTCTTTAAGGGGAAGAAACTCTGCCATTCTTACCTGGTCTAGCCTATGTGTGACTTTGCCAGACTCTCAGCAGTGTGGTTGACTCTTTGCTGTCCTCAGAAATGGTCTGGTGGGCCATTCGCTTCAAGGGCAATTAGAGCTCGGCAAAACTGTTGGCCTTTTTAGCAAAACTGATGTCACGTTAAAGAATTAGCAACAGAAAGATTCATTGGAGATTTTCAGACTGTTCCCTTGGAGAAGAGAAAGCTGGAAGGAGATCTGACTGAACTATTCAAAATTAAGAGAGGTGTGGACAGACTAAACACAGAAAATGTTCCTACTTGTGAAAGAATTGAGAATGACGGTGCAGTAAAGTAATTTGTAAAAGAAGCAAATGTGGTGAAGAAAAGCTTTTTCATATAATAAATTGTTAGGATCTGGAAAACACTGCCAGATATTGTGGTAGAGGCAGGTTTGATCAAGCCATTCAAAATGGAAGTAGATGGTTAATAAAAGGAACAAAAACAGTGTTATGAAGACGATGCAGGAGAATCAAATCCTGATGGAGTTTATGCTAAGTTTTCAGAAGGAACAGTTGTATTAATTTTACCTTCCAGAATTCCCTAGATTCCAGAACAATCTCTCTGGATAGGAAGATGGCAATTGCAACCTTCACTCTACAGCAAGAGCATCCTTTCTCAGAAAAGGAGACCAAAATTGCATGCAACATTTCAGGCGTGGCCTTAGAAATTTCTTGTAAAATGACAGCAAGACATCCTTGTTGCACTTGAATCTTCTTGCTACAAAGGTCAACATACAGTTTGCCTTCTTTACTGCTTGCTACACCTGCATGCTTATTTTCAGCGACTGTTAAACAATGACACCGTGGTCTCATTGGACATTCCCCTCTCTCATTTTATAGCCATTCAAATAATAATCTACCTTCATATTTTTGCTACCAATGTGGATAACCTGCCTGCTCCATCATTCATTATGTTCATGGCTAACCATCTAACTCAATAGTCTGTTCCTGCTTTCCCCCCTATCTTTTAATCCCTTTAATCTCAAGTGCTATATTGAACTCCTTCTTGAAATCATAAAATGCCTTGACTGCACTCTGTGGTTGAGAGTTCCACAGGCTCAAAACTTTCTGGGTGAAGAAATCTGTCCTCATCTCAGTCCTAAGTGGTCTACCTGTATCCTCAGACTGTGACTCCTGGTTCTGAACTGTCCCATCATTGGGAACATCCTTCCTTCATCAATCCTGTCTAGGCCTATTAGAAATTTATATGTTTCTTTGAGATTCCTCCGTCATTCTTCTGAACTTCAGCAAATATAATCCTAACCAATTCAACCTATCCTCATACAACAGTCCTGCCATCCCAGGAATCAGTCTGGTAAGCCCTCACTACATTCACGCTCCAGAAAAACATAATTCCTTAGATAAGGAGACCAAAAGTGTGCTCAATATTCCAGATATGTTGCAGTTGATTGTTCCACAGACGTTTCATTATTCTGTTGGGTAACATCATCAGTGCAGCCTCCGACGAAGTGTTGTGTTTTCCCGCCTGTTATTTAAACTCTGGTGTCCGTTGAGCTGGATTACCTCACTCCTGTTTTTTCTTCGTAATGGAGTGTATATGGGTCTAGCTTTCTTAGTGGAGTACCTATGCCACTACGCCAACCATACTTCACCTGCTCACCTGAACCAAAGACCCACTACCCGCTATGGACAGGACCAATGCCATATACAAGATTCCCTGCAAAGCCTGTGACAAACACTATGTTGGACAAACAGTAAGGAAATTAACCAGAAGGGTACATGAACATCAATTGGCAACAAAAAGACACTACCAATTCTCACTCAACTCCATCCACATGAATAAGGAGGACCACCAATTTGATTGGGACAACACCAGGATCCTGGGACAAGCAAAGCAGAGATAAGCACGGGAATTCCTAGAAGCCTAGTACTCCACTAAGAAAGCCATCAATAAACACAGAGCTAGACCCCATATACACTCCATTGCGAAGAAAAACCGGGAGTGAGGTAATCAAGCTCAACGGACACCAGAGTTTACATAACAGGCGAGAAAACACAACAGCACTTCATCGGAGGCTGCACTGATGATGCTACCCAGTAGGGTAATGAAACGTCTGTGGAACAACAACCTAGCTCGGCGAGCCAACCAACCACAACATCCACAATCCAAGCTACAAATCTACTCTAAAACCTTAGAATCCAGATGTGGTCTTACCAAGGCACGGCATAATTGCAGCAAGACATCCCTGCTCCTGTACTCAAATCCTTACACTATGAAGGCAAACATGCCATTTGCCTTCTTCACTGCCTGCTGCAACTACAATGCTTACTTTCAATGGCTGGTATACATAGACACCCAGGTCTAGATGCACATACCCTTCTCTCAATTCAGCTAATAATCTGCTTTCCTGTTTTTGCTCCTAAAGCGGGTAACCTCATATTTATCCACATTATACTGTATCTGCCATACATCTGCTCACTCATTCAGCTTGTCCAAATCATATTGAAAAATGTCTTCATCTTCCTCAGAGTTCATCCTCCCACTCAGTTTTGTATCATTTGTAAATATGGAGATGTTACATTTAGTTCCCTTAACCAAAACTATTAATATGCATTGTGAATAGCTGGGGTCCTAGGAATGATCCTTGTGGTATCTCACTGGTCGCTGTCTGCATTTGGAAAAAGACCTGTTTATTTCTACTCTTTGATGCCTGTCAGCCAACCAGTCTTCTATCCATCCCAATATACTATCCCCAAGCCCAAGTGATTTCATTTTACACGCTGCCTGACCCACTGTGATCTCCAGCATTTTTTGTTTTTAGTACAGATTCCAGCATTTGCAGTAACTTGTTACTGTTTTAGCCACATTTCCCATCTCACATAGCCTCTCTACAGAGACAATGGTCCTCAACTCATTCAAACCCATTTCCCATCCTGTATTATCTTCCTGTAATTCCTTAGTTTGAAACCTCATTGCAAGCCTATAATTTAATAAGAGTTGACATTGAGTTACCCAGTATCACCTGACGAGGGCCAGTGCCACAAGTACCTCCATGTTTAAGACCAGCAGCAAAGTAATTATCAAACACGCTGCCCCAATCAAACTAAAAAAAAAAATCACTAAACCAAGAGGAACCTCCCAGCTAAATGATAATATTATGTCTTCTCAGCAGTCTCACTGGACCTGGACAGAGTCTAGCTGAGGGATGAGTTTTCAGACAGCCCATTCCATCAAAGTACCAAAACAACAGCAACATGACCTTATTGTAAATCTGTCCATGAAATGCTGGCATTTGTTGCAAGGGCAGCATTAACTTCCCGTCCCTAACTGCCCTTGAGAGATTTCAGGTTAGTTGCCCTCTTGAACTGCTACATTTTTTAGGAATGAAGTGCCTGGACTTTGACCCAGTGATTGCGAAGAAGCAACAATTTTTTTTCCAAATCAGGATGATGTGTGATTTGGAGAGCAACCTGCAGGAGGTGATACTCCCATGCATCAATTGCTTGTATCAAACCAGGTGGTAGAGGTCATGGTTTGGAAGGTGCTGTCAAAAGGGGCATTAGTGAATTGCTACATTGCATTTGGTACATGCCTTGTGACTTGTAAATGAAGAACAAGCTTGAGAGAAGGGAGGTGGACTGTAAGAATTCCTGGCCTCTGATTTAACCTTGTGAGCAAAGTATTTGTACAGCTGATCTATAGCTTGATGCGATAGCTTGTTGCCTTGATGTCAAGGCAGTCAGTCTTATCACTGAAGTTCTGTTCTTTTGTCCATGTTTGGACTAAGGCTTTAATGAGATCAGAAGTCAAGTGTACCTGGCAGGATTCAAAATGAGCAGGTTACTTCTGAACAGCTGCCACTTGATCTTTAATTATGGTTGTCTTTAATCTGCATAAAGATTGGACAGGAGGAATTCCTGGAGGGTATACAGGATGGTTTTCTGGACCAATATATTAATGTCCTAATAGAAAACATTCTGAACTGCTATTATCTAATAAGAAAGGAATAATTGGCAATCTAGCTGTCCGAGGCCCCATGTGGCTGAATGCCCACAATAAATTTGTGTTCTTTATCAAAATAGAGAGTGATGTAGTTGATTTTGGTTCGAGTCCAGAAGCTAAATAGAGAAAATTATGATGGTAAAAGGCATGAGCTTGCTATGATATAGATTGAAGATGTTGCTTAAAAGGGTGAGGGCGGTAAGGCAACAGCAAATATAAACAAAGCATATGGGTGAACTGCAACTATTATTCATTCCTATCTGGCGCAAAAGTAAAATGGGAAAGGTGGCCAAATCATGGTTTATAAAGGAAATTACAGGTAGCATTAGATCCAAAGACAAGGCAAAAACTGGCCAGAGACCTCAGGTTTGGGTGCATTTAGAATTCAGCAAACAAGGACACAGGGATTGACTAAGAAAGGGAAAATAGAGTGTGAGATAAGCTTGTAGGGAATATAAAAACTAATTATAAATGTTTCTATGGTTATTTGAAGAGAAAAAACAAGTGAAGATAAACATATCTCACTTACAATTTGAAACAGTGGGATTCATAAATGGAGGACAAGGAAATGGCTGATCAACTAAAAATGGTCTGTATTCACAAAGGAAGACAGAGTGTGGCATCAACCAGAAATGTTGGGAAACACAGATTAATGAGAGGGAGAAAGTGAAGGAAATTAGTACTAGCAGGGAAACGGTGTTGGGGAAATTGATAATTAAACGCAGATAAAATCCCAGGATCTGATATTCTACATCCCAGAGTACATAAGGAAGTGGCCCTAGAAAGAGTGAATGCATTGGTGGTCATCTTCCAAAATTCTATAGACTATATAACAGGTTGTACAGATTAGAGAGTAGCTAAGGTAATTCTCCTGTTTAAAAAGGAAGACAAAGGGAAAACAGGATTAATGGACCAGTCAGTCTGACATTGGTCATGGGGAAAGTGTTAGATTCCACTACAAAAAACACAATAGATGAGCACTTTGAAAACAGTGGCAGGATCATACAACATTGATTTACGAAAAGGAAGTCATGCTTGACATATTTGGGATTCTTTGAGGATGTGACTCTTGAATTGATGAAGGGGAGCCAGTGGATGTGTTTTATTTGGACTTTCAGAAGGTTATCAACAAAGAGTCATCTAGACTCGAAACGTTAGTTTCCTTTATCTCCATGGATGCTACCTGACCTGCTGTGATCGCCAGCATTTTTTGTTTTCAGTGGTTAAAGCAGTACTTTTCTTCCCTTTTTAAGACAGTCTCTCGGTATTGAAGATTACTTGTTCCCATTCTCACTCAAATGGTTTCTGCAACAGTTTGTTGGAGGTTTGGAAATTCATGCACATGTTCGCAATAAAGCATCAATATGTTTGATGACAACTTGAATGAACCATCAGCATTTGGTTTGATTCAAGAGATTATGGGAGTGGGAAAATGGGGTTGGAGAGCAGGACTTTGATCCAGGAGCAATAGAGGCTAAGGCAGATGACAGAGTGGCGTTGGACAATGGAGCTACGATCAGAAAGAATGAGGGGCTGGGGGAGATAGGAAAATAGGGTTAGACGGCAGTATTTGACAAAGGATGTGGGAAATTCGGTTAGAAATCAGGGCCTACCTGAGGATATGAGGAAATGGGGTCAGAGAGCAGGACTCTGACCCAGGGAAACAGGGTTACAGGTCAGGGTTCGAATTGGGTCAGAGGGAAGGCTCTATACTGGAAGAGAGAAAATTGTGTGACAGGATAAGACTGACAGAGGGACAATGAAGAACGTAAGAGATGAGGAAATGGGGTTACAGAACAGGGGCCTTGCCCTGGGGATGAGGAAATGGGGTCAGACGGCAGGGAGCTACCCTGAAGATGGGGTCAGGGAGCAGGATTACAGCCTTGGGAGATGGGGTCAAAGGGTCAGAGGGCGGGGCTCTCACCCCGGGCAGCTGGGGCCAGAGGGCAGGGCTCTCACCCCGGGCAGCTGGGGCCTCATCCTGGAGTGGAGTGGGGCGAGGTCAAAGTGATTAGGGTCAGTCTGACGGGGGCTAGGGTTATAGAAAGTCGGGACACGATGGTGAGTGCTGAGGATAACCTGAACGGGCGCTGGGTTTATCGGTAAGCTGACCGAACTCTCTCACCTGCCGGCCTGGCTTTCGTCTTCCTCGACCCGACTTTGAAGTTGTTATCTAACGGTCTGTGGGTTGCTGGATCGGTCCAACGTGCGCCTCGGAGGGGAGCGGTGGGTCCGTTTGAATTTGATTGACAGGTTTCCCCCCTCTCTCTCTCTCTCTGTGTATCCCCGCGGGTCTGCAGCGGGTGCCTCGCGCGCTCGATTTGAATTTGATTGACAGGTTTCCCTCTCTCTCTCTCTCTCTGTGTATCCCCGCGGGTCTGCAGCGGACGCCTCGCGCGCTTGGTTTGAATTTGATTGACAGGTTTCCCCCCCCCTCTCTCTCTCTCTCTCTCTGTGTATCCCCGCGGGTCTGCAGCGGGCGCCTCGCGCGCTCG